CACGAAATAGCACAAAAGCGGTGCTAAAAAGTGGCGTTAAAACACCAAAAATCAAAAATCAAATTATATCTCAACTTGTTCGCTGTGTATATCCGTTTCTATAAGGATGTTTTGGATTTCATTGAACGTAATCTTTGAATTACTGGTTTATTATTAAGTCATGGATTTCGTTTCTACAAATAAATGAAAAATTTTCTAAATTCTTTCGTATATACTTGTAGAAAACTTATCACAAACGGAATAGCACATCCTGATTTTACGATGATGCTGTTTATCGAGCACGTAAATTTAAAATAAAATTATGATAAAGAAAACACTACCATAGATCTGACATCATCATTGATTTCTTCACTATAATGGTATCAAAGAACTAACTTAAGGTGGTACCAAACACCTTGACTAAAATTAATTTGGCTCGTTTAATTTTCATAAAATTTTGACAAAATATTTACTTTGACCCTTTGACAAAAATATAAAAATTTCAAAAAACATAAACCACACACTTTATCGGAAAAAATTCATTGGATATTTAGCAGTTGACAAATACTAATTTTGATCATTGAGAAGCTTAATATTTCCTTAACAATATCTAGAACGTGATTAAAACGTTCCGCTGATTTTTACAGAGTTATCTCCCTGTAGTGTTATGTACCACCTTAAGGACAATCACAGACTAGGTTCCTTACTTAATACATGCATGCTCGGATCAACATGTGAGAGGACAAACTAGTTTTTCATTTCCAAACTTGTCTTCTCCTTTCAATCTCTATCAGTCGAATAACAACAGTTATATATAAAATAAAACGTACAATTAGTCTTAGATACATGTTTTTTTATTATTATTATTAGTTGTTATTGACTCAGTAATTGCGAGTATCCTCAGATCTGTGCTTAGTGTCTTTTTTGTTGTTAGGGTTGAGGGATGGATAAATACCCTGGCACGTCCGGTCTGTGTTTTTGTTTGATTTTCTGCTTTGTATCGATCTGATGAGTTAAGCCTTTTTCAACTAATTTTAATAGTTTGTTCTCATGTTGTGCTGTTACACCACTGTCCCAGGTTAGGGGAGGGTTGAGCGCTCAAAAACATGTTTAACTCCGCCACATTCTTTATGTGCTTGTCCTTAGTCCGCAGCCTGTAGTTCAGTGGTTGTCGTTGTTGGTTTATGTCTGTCATATTTGTTTTTCGTAAATTTATTTTTTTTAAATTAGGCCATTAGTTTTCTCATTTGAATTGTTTCATATTTTTCTTTTCGGGGCCTTTTATAGCCGACTATACGGTATGGGTTTTTCTCATTGTTGAAGGCCTACGGTTGCCTATAATTGCTTACATCCACTTCGTTTGAACTTGGCTGGATAGTTGTCTCATTGGCAATCATACCATCTCCTTATTGTTATATTACAAAAATGAATTTCTGGTAGCTTGGATTTCAAACTTAAACTTCAGAAACTGAATTTCGAATGGTCATTCTGGCCTTATATTCGTCACGATCTGTCACAATCTGTATGGGTGTGTGCCAAATAAGGAGGCTGTAATTCAGTGATTGTCGTTTATTGCTGTGTTATAATTCAGGCCGCTGATTTTCTCGTATGAATTTTTTCACATTTTGTCATATCGGGGCCTTTTGTAGCTTACAATACGATTTGTTGAAGGCCGTTCAGTGTCCTATATTTGTTTACATCTTTTTCCTTTTGGTCTTTGCTGCACGTTTTATTGTAACATTGGCAATCATACCACATCTCGTTATTTTTATTTTAAAGAATTGTATTAAAAGCGAAAAAGCACAATTAAAATAAATTTCAACGAGAGTATAGCTGATTATTTTGAACCCAACTAACAAAAGCTGCTAATACAGACGTAACATAAAAAAATAATTACAATACAAAAAACAACAAATGATTGAATTAAAAAAAAATAAAGACATAAAAAAGATAAATTTTGAGTAAATGAATAGACAAATATAACCGGCGTGTATTTAAACCCGGTTAATTGCGCCATGCCAGTATTAAGATTATACCACTTAATCAGTCTAGACGTGGTTCAATAAAATAATAATTGTGAAAAGTTTATAGGGATGAAATTATCTATCTGCCATACTCTATTTATACTAAAAAAAACTTGTTTGTGAGAGATGACATTTCCTGTGTTTAAGCTTAAAAATACCGAAGAGAAAAGCTAAGATAATTTTATATCAACAGTATAATCAATACGAATGATGCTTTAAGTGCGTACGCTAAGCCTAACATATTTTGTTTGATATTATGTGTAACAGTTATTTGTGTTTTCTTTCACTTTTGTATAATGCTTTATTACTGTAATTTGATTTTGATGGATTTATTTAACGGTGTTGTAATAAAAGGCAGAAGATACCAAAGCGAAAATCAAATTTCAAAGGTCAAAGACTAACTGACAAAATCATGGCACAAACGAAACAGGGGTGATCACAGGTGTCCCGAAAGGTAGAGGTACAGATGTATTGGAAGAAATAAATGAGGTCAAGATGCCTAAGAATAGAAATATCACATTTGAAATTAATTAAGTTTTCTCTTAAATAGATAAAAAGCATAATTATAGCAATTTACAAAGTCACTGGACAGTACAAAAGACCACACCAATCACAAACACCGGACAGCTAAAAAAAAGATGTACAAGCTGAAACGAGCAACAACAAACAACACATGGTCCTGATAGCCTGACGTACTACAGGTAACAATAAACAACACATGGTCCTGATAGCCTGACGTACTACAGGTAACAACAAATAACACATGGTCCTGATAGCCTGACATACTACAGGTAACATCAAACAACACATGGTCCTGATAGCCTGACTTACTACGGGCAACAACAAACAACACATGGTCCTGATAGCCTGACTTACTACAGTCAACAACCAACACATGGTCCTGATAGCCTGACTTACTAGTCAACAACAACAACACATGGTCCTGATAGCCTGACTTACTACGGGCAACAACAAACAACACAGGGTCCTGATAGCCTGACTTACTACAGTCAACAACAAACAACACTTGGTCCTGATAGCCTGACTTACTACGGGCTACAACAACCAACACATGGTCTTGATAGTCTGACATACTACGGGCAACAACAACCAACACATGGTCCTGATAGCCTGACTTAAAACGGGCTACAACAACCAACACATGGTCCTGATAGCCTGACTTACTACAGTCAACAACAAACAACACATGGTTCTGATAGCCTGACTTACTACGGTCAACAACAAACAACACATGGTCCTGATAGCCTGACTTACTACGGGCAACAACAAACAACACATGGTCCTGCTAGCCTGACGTACTACAGTTAACAACAAACAACACATGGTCCTGATAGCCTGACTTACTACGGCCAACAACAAACAACACATGGTCCTGATAGCCTGACTTACTGCAGTCAACAACAAACAACACTTGGTCCTGATAGCCTGACGTACTACAGTTAACAACAAACAACACATGGTCCTGATAGCCTGACTTACTACGGGCAACAACTAACAACACATGGTCCTGATAGCCTGACTTACTACGGGCAACAACAAACAACACATGGTCCTGATAGCCTGACGTACTACAGTTAACAACAAACAACACATGGTCCTGATAGCCTGACTTACTACATGTTTGTTATACAATTTAAACACGCTATTACAAATATGTCACAATTGGAAAAACAATATTTATTTCCGTTGAAAAATTTGCAGTGATGAATATACCAATATTTTGCTATCCTAAAAAAGGGCAGGATTATATTTTTTTTTTATGATTTACATGAATTGTATGAACAACTTGTGTCTGTTGATATTAAAACAATGAAATCATATCATCTGAAACTAATTTTTTTTATCTGAAACTAATTTTTTATCTGAAACTAATTTTATTTAATTTGTTGTTTTTTATGCAAAATAAAAGTTAGAATATTTAAGAATTTTTTTATGTATGCCAACAAACCAATTTAACAACAAAACTAAAGAATGCATGTAGTTACCACACTATATATGGGCTCTTGTGAAAAAGTGACTCAGAAGAATCTCCGAAGAATCTCTGCATTTGTATTATTCATTCAGGGATGTGTATTTCCCGAACAATTAAATACTCTTTTGATTCAGATAAGGGTGAAGGTTTGGTACCATTAAAACGTTTAAACCCGCTGCAATTGTTTGCACCTATCCTAAGTCAGGAATCTGATGTTCAGTAGTTGTCGTTTGTTGGTGTGGTTCATGAGTGTTTCTCGTTTCTCGTTTTTTATATGGATTAGACCGTTGGTTTTCCCGTTTGAATGGTTTTACACTAGTATTTTTTGGGGCCCTTTATAGCTTGCTGTTCGGTGTGAGCCAAGGCTCCGTTTTGAAGACCTTACTTTGACCTATAATGGTTTACCATTATAAATTTTGACTTGGATGGAGAGTTGTCTCATTGGCACTCATACCACATCTTCTTATATCTCTTTAGAATTCTTTTTGAACACTATACCAATTGGCATAAAAAAGCTATGATATTAGTATACCTATTATAGTTATCTTGCATACATTTAATCTTTTTTTTTTAAGAAAGAATCTATTATTCTATACAAGTACTTTATTTCAGTTTCAAAATGATAAAGACAATCCATTCAAACTTGGTGTGCATGTTTAAGATCACTTAATGATACTTAGAATCGTACATTTAGGATGACAGTTGATATACAATGTACCATGTACCATGTCAACATCGTACAACTTATCGAAAACTTTAAGTTTGGTTTTTTCATCTATCTTCAACTTTGTATCTTATTTGGCCGTCCAACTGTTTCGTTCCGAACACAATGGTGAGTTTTGTTTATACAAAATGCACTTATTTGCGATTAAAATATAAATCTGGTATGTTTGATGAGTTTAACATGGACAGGTATTGAAGAGAATTATTGTTAACCTCTTTTTTTTTTTATTTATCAATATATCTAATAATTCTACTGTAACAAAGAGAAAAACAAAACAACATTTAACAAACAGTTCACCAGTATATTTTTTTTTAAACAGTAATAAAAACTAATAACATCAACAAAAATATACTATTAGTATTCTGCTCTCCTCTGTTACTTGGATTGGGGTTAACTGGTTTAGATTTTGGCGGATTAGCAATTGCAGCAGCACAGTCCTTTTCTTTAGCATATTCTCCAACACAGGAGGCAAACGCCATGACATGCGCAATATAATGCTGCTCATGAACACCCTGAAACAGATGTGACATTGGACCTCGCGCGAAGATAGCAACGTCATCTCCCCCATGTGTCTCCAGACCCATTTTTATTGCGGATTGCTGATGAAAATCTTTCTCGTCTATAAACAGAAAAGTAAAAAAACCTTTTTATTTGTATTATACATATTGCTGTATTTACAAGAAGTCAACCGCAAAATCGCGGGCATGTGCATTGATTTTTATGTTTATTATCAAATGGGCTTGGTAAATTAATAACGTACATAATATATTAAAATTTAATACTTAATAGGTTGAAAAAAGTTGACATTTTTTTATCTTAATTACTTTATTCTGTTTGTTAGGGATCAGATTTTGTAAAAAGTAAAATAACAAAAATACAAAACTCAAAGGAAAATTCAAAAAGTAAAGACCCTTATCAAACTGCAAAATTAAAAGCTCAAACACATCAAACGAATGGAAAACAACTGTCATATTCCTGACTTGGTACAGGTTTTTTCTTATGTAGAAAATGGTGGATTGAACCTGGTTTTATAGCTAGCTAAACCTCTCACTTGTACGACTGTAAGTCATATTCATTGTGTTTTAATTGACACACGTTGTGTTGAGTTGTTGTTTAAAATTATTGGTGTTATAAAAGCAACTTTCAATTGGTTGGCTAAAGTCCCATCTGTTTTCTTAAGGGAACACGGTGCATTTAGCAATAATTTAATTTTGGATGTAACACGGCTTCTGATTGGCTGAAAGTTTTTTGTCTATCAGCTCATAGACATAATTTTGTCAAGTGATCGTGACGTCATCAACATGTTTTCATGATTTACTCCTTAAAAATGGAATTTAGAATTAAATTATAAGAAATGACTGTAAAAAAATTCTGTCTATTCGAAATAGCCTCAAAAAAGGTGGTGCACACTTTAAATAACCCGCAACGATTGTTATTCAGAGTGCACCACATTTTTTTAATGTTAATTTTTCAAAGACAGAAAAAATATTCAGTCATTCCTTAATCATATTGAAAAATTAGCTGTTATGTATTATTGTTATATAGTCTCTAACAATTTTGATCATTCGTTTTCAGACATGTGTTTGGATTTTTAGTGATATCATTCGTCCAATAACTATGTGCTAAAATAAAAAAAAACGAACTCCAACGTAAGTTAATTAAAACAGGGGGACCGAAGTCCATAATTTAAACTGACAAAACCAAATGATCGACTATATCAACCAACGGAACGAATGGAAAACAACTGTCATCTTCCTGACTTGGAACAAGCATTTTCTGAAGAAAATGAAGGATCAAACGCTGGGTTATAGTTAGCTAAACCTTGTATTATCTTCCGTAGTGTTATATTGATATTGAATTTGTTGTTTGAAATTTGTGGTGTTTTTTTGCTCCAAAATTGATTAATTTAATGTTGTAGTTAGGTGAGCTTAAAAAAAAAATCTTGAATTAAAAAAAATTGATACTTTAAGTCAGAAGAGCATTAGTTAAGGAACAAAATAAGCTAAAAATATAGATAGGTTATAGAACTATTTTTTTTTATTTTTAAAATATGGCGGGAAAAGACTGACTCGGACTTTTACCTTATATTTAGCATTGGCATTATTTGGGTCTCAAATCGCAATGGTAATGACTTTTTTATGAGCTATTGAAGTCTATTATGAAAAAAATGTGGGTGGTATGGGGCAAATGTTTTACCCTGTATCGTAGGAAAAAAAACCCAAGAGTCCAAACAGCTGACAAAAAATCCTAAACCTGACATGACTACATCCTTAAGTCCGTTATAATATGTTGTTGTTTAAATGTGCCATTATTTTTTTGTAATGTCTATCACTAACTGACAAAGCTGTTGAATTTGAAATGGGCGTATTCAAATAAATCCCTAATCATTTTTTTTTTATTTAAGAACGTTGTGTTACACTGTTGTTTGATTTTTGTCCAGTTTGCGACATTAATGTCGCGAAAGCGAGACAAAGCGATCATAGTTAGTTTGTATTACTCCATCTTGTTTCAATAAGGTTCGGAGTGATGCGTTTCCGTTTGAAACTAATAATCGTACACGTTTTAAGCAGTTCTAATTATTTGCCTTTTAGAAGATTATGGGTACTATACGATTGTGTGTGGTGTTGTTGTATACTGTGACTTTTAAAATATTATATATGATTTCTACAGACATAATGATGAAAACACTACTAATAACTGTAAGACATGCAAAATGTTCAACTATTAAAGGGTAGATCGTAAACATTATTTTCACAGATAATTTTACCTGTATGTTCACCAGTTAGATTCCTCCTTGGACTTTGCACTGCACCTGGTCCATTTGCATATGCAAGTGTGGTGTATGGCAAATTGTCCCCAGCCATAGCAACTTTCCCATTGGTTTTAACTAGACCTTTGAATCAACATATTGTATAAACTATTATTTGAAAAACTTCACTTGATCTGATGCAACTTGAAATATTAACCTTTTCTGATGGCATTATAGAAAAATAAGAAGATGTACTGTGATTGAAAATGAGACAGACTGAGTTCTCCGCTAGTGACCAAATGACGTATTTCTTATCATCTAAATCAAATTATATCCCAAAAAGGATTTAGAATAACAGACCTCTTGGTCTGTGTCAATGAAACATCAGTCAAGTACCTGAAATCACCCCCGGTTATTTGTGGGGTTCGTATTGCTCAGCCTTAAGTTATCTATGTTGTGTTTTGTGTACTGTTGTTTGTCTTTTTATCGTTTTTTGTCTTTGCATTTTCAGTTTGATTTCGACTTATGAGTTTAAATATAGCTTTGGTATTTTTCGCCTCTCTTCTATAATACTTGAGTGAAAATGTTTTTTACAGCATATGTACCCGAGTTAGTGCAAATTACTTGATTGTTAGCTACTTGCGTCATAAAATCCATTTACATTGTGGAGATTTAACTTAACAATTCATTTTTAAGAGTAAAACGGTGGGTATCACATGTAAAGCAGGATCCGCTTACCCTTCCAGAGCACCTGTTTTGTTTTGGTGGAAGGGATCTTGGGTTGTCTGTTTTTCTTCGAATTATGATTTGTAGTTGTCCCCTTGGTAGCTTGACAATAATGTGTCTCTTTTTTATAAAGTATATTTTGAAAAGATTTTTAAAACAATACTGTTACAAATTGATTGATAATTTCACTGTTATATACTGAAACAACATAACTACTTTACATCATTATACGTGTTGAATATCTACGCAGGATATTATGTATGAAAAGTACAACTATTTCGAATGGACTGCAATTAGTTATAAGATGAACACAATTTGCAAAAACTATTGTTAAACTAAAATGTATTTCATTATTACCAAGTACAGGATTGCCTCTGTCAGGATATCCAACAATAGTCATCGTGTGCGAATGATCAGCTGTGACGATTATGAGAGTATCCTCATCACTCGTGAGATTATCAGCTACAGCAACAGCATCAGCCATTGCAATAGTTTCAGATAATGCGTAATCCGCTTCTCCAAAGTGATGAGCCCAGTCTATTTTTCCTCCTGAAAATATCACAAGTTTAGACATTGTGAGAAGCATTATAGGTTATAGCTTAACAAGGAAAGCATTTGTTGATTTATTTTTTGAGCGAAATACCTCATGTTCGGGTTCCAAGTTTAGTTACGACAATCACTGAACTTCCATTTTTTGCCAGTTTATCAGGGATTTTGTAAAATCCCTGGAATAACAGTTTTAGTGATTTTGTAAAATCCCTGATTACAAGTTTATTAATAAACTTGATATTAAAAATGTGTTTTTCTAAATACAAATAAACCAATGATTTTGAAATATATTTTTTTAATAAATGATACTAGTTAAAACTATTGTACAGTGATTATGAATGATAAGCATATGAACTGATATTAAGAGTATAATGTTTATTATATAGTGTTTCTGTAATTACTGGAAAGTATAAACCAATTATATCAATTTTGTAATCAAATATAAAGACAGTACATCGGAGCGATTGCCATTTAGAGAGGAGGAAAACACATATGGAAAGAGTAAGATATTGATTGGTTTAGGCTATGCCATCCAGTAGCAAATATTACATGCATATCAGGATGAGAGTATCTTATTATGACATGAAAATTGATATACAAAAAGCATATAAGTTTTGTATTCTTAATTTGCAGCCTATAAAACACATTTATATCCACACAATATTAGTTAAAAAAAGGACAACAGATAGGTATTTTTCTACAGTATGTCAGTTGTTTGATGACAATAACTCACTTAGTATTAATATAAAAGGCTAAATTAACCTCAAACTTGTTGAGTGACACTGCTTTAGACTTTTTTTCAAGAATATTGTAACGAAAAGAATCATATTCTTTTTAAAATTCACTGCATTTAATCAGGGAATCTGTAAAAAAAGATCTTCATTAATTCAGTGATTTTGTAAAATCCCTACTCAAAATCAGGGATTTTATAAAATCGTTTATCAGTTCAGTGATTATACAAATTCACTGTAACATATATTCATTATATCGTTATTTACATGTATCACTTTGCTCTATACTATAAGTATCATAAGATGAACTTGACATACCCTCTACAAGAAGAAAGTAGCCTTTATTATTGTCGTGCATACGTAATGTTCTGATAGCTTTTTCTGTCATTTCTGCTAACGTGGGTTCCGGTACAGGCTGACTAGCTTTATCCAACTCAAATGACATGTGATCAGAGTTGAATAAGCCTACAAATATTAAGGATTGTTTTAGAAAAAGATAGTTATATCTTCAAGCAAACACAGGAACCCCATCACACAACATCTACTTTACACAAATATAAGTGATGATGATGATGATGAGGGGTGTCTACTATATCAAAGTCATGAATTCTAACCACTAAGAATGATAATTTATTATAATGTTTTAAAATGATTTCTTTTAATTCTTCTTATTTCCTTACATGATAGATATGTCAACTTTATTTGCCGTCTGCAGATCTTTGCTATTTGAAAAGAAATAAGTTAAACATAGCTCCTGTAGTACATGTATCATTTAAATCAAACCGACAGAACAATATGTCGTATGTAGTTCAGCTAATGTGATTGAGGAACTGTATTCAAGCACTTTTCTATAATATATGATATGTTTCAAGAAAAAGCACTTTTTCTGTAATATATGACTATTTCTAAACGTATCACGGAACTTGCTATCTTTTTCTCTCTAACATATTTAAATTGCATACTGCACAGAGAGTTCGACATTTGATTCTTTTCGTGTAAGTTTGTCGTGTGGTGACGAATTATTTTGTCTTTCTCAGTAGGTTTTGTCCTTCATTTTTTTACTTGTAATCTCAATCTCTGTCCTGCCTTTTTATTTTTCACTCTATTCAGTTCTGCATGTTTTTTTATTAGTTTATCCTGACTTTTTTTACATAAATTGTTATCCTGCCTTTTTTTTTGCCAAGTTACTCATCCTGTCTTTTTTTTTACTCAAAACTCCTGTCCTGCCTTTTTTTCAAATTTCATCCTAGTCCCCCCCCCCCCCCCCCCCCCTAAAAATCAAATGGTAGCTCCCTAAGCACTCGCTCCTTTTTTATACTTGATCGATGTTTTGGAGATCCGGAGATCTAATTTTCTGTTAATTTAGTGTCAGACAACACAAGTTCTCTCTAGGATATTAACAGTTAAAAATGATATAATTATACAATTGAAACTATGCATATGCTGGTGGTCTCAAATGAATTTAAAGGCATGCCTTCAAGGAGGCTCTTAATCCCTCTGAATGTGTTGGTCGATGTTACTGATGACAGTAGTTTGTTCCAATCAATGATGGTCTTGGCAATATTAATTGCCCGTATGCAACTATACATGTTTTTCACTGGGTAAAATTGATTTTTTATTTGGTTATGAACTAATCTGATGGAGCATTTTGTACCTTTTTGGTCCGAATTTTTTTTATATGTGACATTAAGGCTAGATTTACTTTGTTCATACCTAAAATATATTCAGTAGATCTAGGATCAATATTATTGAATTCTGTAGCATTCCATACGTATTCATAATTAACTTTTCTTTGTTGCTTATCGTTAATCCATTCCTAAAAAAAGTTTGTTAAAAACAATGAATATGAATCATACGCTATCGCAAATATCTGCCATTTTTTGTTACAACAATGTTTAATGTATAAAGTAAGGATGAAACCAAAAGAGGATGAAAACTTGGTAACCACGGGAAGCATAAGGTTACATTTGAAAGTGCAAAAACTGAGAAGAGGTCAATAAAAACCCGTAAAATGAAGAAAAACTTACATCACCATGGCCAAAAAGAAAACATAAAAAATACAAACAACTATGTATAAAGCATCACACAAAAATTAAAGATTGAACAAAACCCGTGAGTTAACTCAGGTGCACCGACAGGGATAGGATTTTATACTACGTAGATAATGACATTCCTTTCGCGCCTTCTGAAGATAATTTGATAAAGTCCTTGAATGTGTTATTTGTGTTAAATACATGTAGTATAAAACTAATGACACTTTTGTTTTTTTTTCAAATTTTTAAATCATATCAAAGTTATTTTTTCGATGCAAATGACCATTAGCTGTATAATAATGACGCTTTTGCAATGCTTTAGGTTTTTTAGATTTTTTTTTATAGGTTCTTATTCATTAATTCTACTAACTTCAATCAAATTTCTGTTGTCTCTCCTTCCATCTTTGTTGTTCAACCCAATGACAGGATCAGATTCGTTGCTTGGTAGGAAATATCGCCGTCCTCCTCCCATCAATACCTACATAGAAGCAAACGATGACCTGAACATGCTTGGTGATCTTTTGCAATATCTTCAGGCAAATGCTTTTTGAATTGTATAGCTTTCGAAGAGTTTTAAATAGTAGACATGCACAAAAGATACAACTAGACAGTTCTCATCCGAGCCTTGTTTGGTACCGTACCATTTATAAATTACTTATCCAGGTAGAGCCTTCTTAAATACATTATTATAATTTCGAATCCGCGCTTGCTCGTAGAACACTGTTAGTTTGTCTTAGAATATTTTTTTTGAGCTTTTCGTCTTAAGTTAATAATCCGAATAATGTGAGTGAAATGTGTATTTAGAGCTATTTGATTGGTTGCAATAAACATATCACTAAACTGAGATATGCTTTATGCATTCTCTTCAAATCTGTAAATTTTCTATGTAAACATGACATACCTTAATGCTTGATTTGTAGTCATTGATTAATTGTTTTGCGATATCAGGACAATTTTCTTTGTTGGTAACATTTTCTAATTGCCAGTCAACTTCCCAGTTCCGATATGCTGTATTGGCATATGCGGCCCCTGGTGTTGCATGAGTAATTCTTGTAGTTGTTATAATTCCTACAGATTTGTCTTAAACAAACAAAACAAACTAAATAAAGCGAAAAAAAAACTACACTGCTGATAAAAGATTATCGATTTAAGTTCCATACCTACTCAATTTCATATCAGAAATTTATAAAAAAAAAACTAAAGGGAGGTTATTTTAATAGATATAAACCCGTCATCACTGCTCAAAGCACTTTTGAGTTGTTTGTCCGAAAACTGGAAAATCCCCCTTTTTTAATGAATAAAACTCCATAACTCGGAAACGTAAAATCCAAAATTTATAAAACTCGAAAGGAAGATCGCGCCAATAGATTTAAACAATTCAATTCACCAAAGTTTCATGAATACTGCTCTAAGCATTTTTGAGTTATTGTCCGAAAACTGGAAAATCGCCCCTTTTTTAATGAATAACACCCCATAACTCGGAAACGTAAAATCTAAAATTTATAAAAATCAAAAGGGAGCTCATGTCAATAGATATAAACAATTCATCAAAGTTTCAAGCAAATTGGTTAAAGCGTTTTTGTGTTATTGTCCGACATGTTGACGACGGACGGACGGACGGACGGACAACGGTATACCATAAAACATTCGGTAAACGGGGCATATAAAAATTGAAAACAAAATATATAATTAGTTTATTTTTTCAAACTGTCAGTGTTTAATGTGCAGTATAGATAAGGGTTTCATTGAAAATAGTTTACATTTGCAAGAGGACTTATTTCGTATAAAAATATTGCGTACGGCACGAACTCGGATTTTTGCTCTCATACGAATTTTCTTTTCTTTTTATGGCAGTTTGTTTTGTCTTCTTTTTCCTTTGTTTGTTAGCAATTTTTGGGTATTTTTTTGTTTCATTTTCGTTGTGTGTGTGTGTGTTGTTTTCTCTCTCTTCAAGAAAGTAACATTTAGAAAATTTACCTTTCTCTAATGACCAGTCTGCAATCGATGTGACCTTTGACTTGTCAGTCATTGAAGAACAATCTTTTGGCTTAACACTACCATCTACTCCTAAAACCCCAGAGTTAGTTTTTATACCACACAGAAATTGTGTTGCAGTCCCCGCCGAATCTGGTGTTTGATGATCCTGATTATATGTCTGCAAAAACAAAGTTCGCAAGATTAATACAAATATATTTCATTTGGTCGTGTTGTTTGCTTCAAAAATGAAAAAAATTCGCAAAAAAGAACTGATAGTAAAAATGACTGGGAGACAACCCGATTGAAAGACCTCAACTGAATGACATACATGAATGATTCTTTATTATAGCACCATTTAAGATATAAGTCATATTCAGAAGATCAGTTAAGGTATAGATATTGAAAAAGTGAGAACAATATTTTTTTATTTTTTTTAGATCATTTGTTGATTATAATATGATAATTATAGAATTATGAAGGAATACAATTTTTGCTTTATTCAGATCAAACATCAAACTATATTTTGTTGGTAAAAGTAAATGGAGTGTCTAAAATTAAAATCGACAGAATTGTATCATAATTTACCAAAATGAAGTTTATATTATGCTATAAGTGTGGGCCACGGAGCTTTTTCATAAGCTACAAGTTGTGAAAATTAGTCAGATTTTGCAAAAATTATACCCTTTTGAGTCAAATAAAACAATAGAAATTTACAATGGTATATAAGATTTAAAATAAAATGTAATCTTTAAAAACGTTCCTGTTTTTGTAACGCTAATGTCTAGTTAGTGGTTTAGGAGGAGCTGCAAATACAAATCGCGGACTGTCGCGTGTACGAAAGATCTGAAATACGGACCAGTCAATCTTTCATGTACATGTAAACTCCTCTTACTCAAAGGGGGATGAGTATTCAGTTATAGAAAAAATATGTAATTATGTTGTGGTCACTTTTCATATATATGTCAATTGTTGTGGTCACTTTTCATATATATGTCATTATGTTGTGGTCACTTTTCATATATTTGTCATTATGTTGTGGTCACTTTCCATATATATGTCATATGTTGTGGTCACTTTTCATATATATGTCATTATGTTGTGGTCACTTTCTATTTATATGTCATTATGTTGTGGTCACTTTTTATATATATGTCATTATGTTGTGGTCACTTTCCATATAAATGCCATTATGTTGTGGTCACATTATGTTGTGTTCACTTTCCATATATATGTCATTATGTTGTGGTCACTTTTCATATATATGTCATTAAGTTGTGGTCACTTTCCATATACTGTGGATTCATTTATTTTCGTGGGTCCCAATTTTCGTGGATTTATGAAAACTTTAATTTTCGTCGATATCAAATTTCGTGGATTTTGCAAAGTTTGCATACATTCCTTTAGAAAATTTGTAATTCGTTGAACTTTTAAATTCGTGGTTCCCCTGTCCCCATGAAATCAACGAAAATTGGTATCCAACGAATATTAATGAATCCACAGTATATGTCATTATGTTGTGATCACTTTTCATATATATGTCATTGTGTTGTGGTCACTTTCCATATATATGTCATTATGTTGTGATCACTTTCCATATATATGTCATTATGATGTGGGCACTTTCCGTATATATGTCATATGCGTTCTGCCTTTGATCTTCAAATTCAACTGAAATCATGCTGTTAATATAAATCTGTTCACATCTTCGAGAGGCATGATCACAAAAACAAGAAACATATCATAAACCACCAACAGATATAGATAACAAAGACAAACACTAAACTCATGTCTTATCATAGTCTTGTCAATATTGAACTACGTATACATTTCGTCCGTAGTACCTCGAGGTAACCAGTTTCTACTGGTAAAACAAAGCAATCTACTTATATATTTTCTACTTATTTACGTATTTGTCGAGATTATTAAAAACATTTTTTCGTTAAAAAAAATTATGATTAAAGTTTGCAATATGTAGATATATCATAACACTTACAAATGTAACTTTAAGTCACCAACATTTCGATTTTTTTCGGATAATCAGATAATATAAAAAAATAGAAATATTCGAATGTATAAAATAGGAATTAAACAATAGAATCAATTGATATTAATCGCAGTTGGATCCCAAATTAGGAAATATATCATAAAGCTGACCTTGGATAATGCAACATGTGGGAATTTCTCCCAGCTGAGTACATTTTCTTCTCCTGTTTTGTTGTTAAGTTGACCTTGTCTTATTCTAGCTGCTGTTATAGTGGGTATACTCATTCCATCACCCAGGAAGAAAATCACATTTCTTGCGACTTTCTCAATTTTCTGTGATTTTAAATATTTATGAAGTTCATCTTTTGCTTGATTTCGCCAATATACTTGTGCTGTATAAAAAAACATACATTATAAATAAGAAAGAATAGTAAAATTGAATACTATCAGTGTAAGCCGTTTTGAGAATTATCAATTGGATTTCCTCTCCAAAATCTAGCTTTGTGTGTACTGCAAATTGCATTGCAGTTCGTTTGATCATGAATGTTTATTGCATACTGCAAATGTTTGCACCTGTCCTAAGTCAGGAATCTGATTACAGTAGTTGTCGTCTGTTTATGTAGTTCATACGTGTTTCTCGTTTCTCGTTTTTATATAGATTAGACCGTTGGTTTTTCCGTTTGAATGGTTTTACACTAGTAATTTTTTGGGGCCCTTTATAGCTTGCTGTTCGGTGTGAGCCAATGCTCCGTGTTGAAGGCCGTACCTTGACCTATAATGGTTTACTTTTATAAATTGTAACTTGGATGGAGAGTTGTCTCATTGGCACTTATACCACATCTTCCTATATCTATCTATCCCAGTACTTGTTTATGGAACGAAAGTAAATTAAATCCAATGTGTATTGCTGTCAATGAATGTCATCAAATGCATAGAGAGTGCAAGTGAGTAATAATTTTCAGAGTAAACGCTAACTTTTATGCGTTAGAAATCCACTGATAATAAGATATCAATTTCTTTACGGCCAGTGGCAAATATTTCACAATTAAATATTAAATTGAGATGCTTCTATAACTTACTGTTAGACATAAAGTAGGGGGATACAAATGATATTAACAAAGCTTAAGTAAAGAAAACTAGTACTCACTTTCACCGTTTCCTGAAAATTTGGAATTCGTAATCGGACCAGTTTCCTTTGATGGAAAACCAAATCCAGAATGCATTAAAGTTACAAAAAAGAAAAAAACTTCAACATTTTTAACCAGGTTTAACATGGTTATCTTTCGGATTGCTTAAGATCGAATACGAAGTAATTATCTAGCGTAAGAGGTGTTTCACAGTTCTGTAAATAAATATTCACAGATAACTATGTAATATGGTTGGAAACGAAGATATTTACCTACTGCTCCTTCCGTACGTTATCAAAATATTGCGTCTTTTTTTACGACGTATTGTATTTGTGTAATAGCAATACAATATTGAATACGAATAAAATAATTGAACATTTAAGAAATTTCAACTCTTAAATCAAGTTTACAATTGGTAAATAATCTCTCTCACTGGTAAACTAAGACTTATACGTATATTTTATGTGACAGATTAAGATAGCCTAGTAAAATATATGCACATGAAATTAACACTTAATAAATGTTGTTCGTCTGAAGCACTTTTCTGGATATACCTTCATCAGGAACGATCAATCCCAAACATCTTAAAGTCAAAAGAAGTATAAATACCTAAATATAGGAGGAGTTATATGAGTTATATGAGGTATATGAGTTATATGTGTTATATGAGTTATATGAAAGTATATGAGTTATATGAGGTATATGAGTTATAGGAGTTATATGAGGTATATGAGGTATATCAGGTATATGAGTTATATGAGTTATATGAGGTATATGAGTTATATGAGTTATATGAGGTATATGAGTTATATGAGGTATATGAGTTATATGTGTTATATGAGTTATATCAAAGTATATGAGTTATATGAGGTATATGAGTTATATGAGGTATATGAGTTATATGAGGTATATGAGTTATATGTGTTATATGAGTTATATGAAAGTATATGAGTTATATGAGGTATATGAGTTATATGAGTTATATGAGGTATATGAGTTATATGAGTTATATGAGTTATATGAGTTATATGAGATATATGAGTTTTATGGGTTATATGAGTTATATGAGGTATATGAGGTATATGAGTTATATGAGTTATATGAGTTATAGGAGTTATATGAGGTATATGAGGTATATCAGGTATATGAGTTATATGAGTTATATGAGGTATATGAGTTATATGAGTTATATGAGGTATATGAGGTATATGAGTTATATGTGTTATATGAGTTATATCAAAGTATATGAGTTATATGAGGTATATGAGTTATATGAGGTATATGAGTTATATGAGGTATATGAGTTATATGTGTTATATGAGTTATATGAAAGTATATGAGTTATATGAGGTATATGAGTTATATGAGTTATATGAGGTATATGAGTTATATGAGTTATATGAGGTATATGAGTTATATGAGGTATATGAGTTTTATGTGTTATATGAGTTATATGAGGTATATGAGGTATATGAGTTATATGAGTTATATGAGTTGTACGAGTTATATGAGGTATATGAGTTATATGAGTTATACGAGGTTTATGAGTTATATGAGGTTTATGAGTTATATGAGTTATATGAGGTATACGAGTTATATGAGGTATATGAGTTATATGAGTTATTTGAGTTATTTGAACAAAAGGAACACAACAAGAATAGCCAAACCATCTAGGAAGATATAAGAAGATGTGGTATGAGTGCCAATGAGACAACTCTCCATCCATAGATATAAGAAGATGTGGTATGAGTGCCAATGAGACAACTCTCCATCTAATTCACAATTATAAAAGTAAACCATTATAGGTCAAAGTACGGTCTTCAACACGGAGCCTTGGCTCACACCAAACAGCAAGCTATAAAGGGCCCCAAAAATTACAAGCGTAAAACCATTCAAACGGGAAAACCAACGGTCTAAACTATATAAAAAACGAGAAACGAGAAACAATTATGAACCACATCAACAAACGACAACTACTGAACATCAGATTCCTGACTTAGGACAGGTGCAAACAATTGCAGCGGGTTTAAACGTTTTAATGGTACCAAACCTTCACCATTATCTGAAACAATAGTGTAACATCACAACATAGAAAGACAAACTATAAAATATCAACTGAAATGGCTTAACTCAATCAAAGGACATATTAACACCAGTGAACATACACTGAACAAATAAATTTGATCTATGATACAATGTAAATATAAAATAAATAAACTAAGGGAAGAATAATAAAGGTCAACTTTGAATGCAAGTGTTGGGAAATACTAGTAAATGAAAAGGTATGATCTAATTAAGCTGAATTTTTGGTCCTTAAAATATGAAATCGTAATTTTTCACAAACCCGAAAACATTATTCATATTGTATTAAATTCTCGTTTTAACATGTGCTTTTTTATCATTATTGACGTAATAACATAAGATTAAGCTATCATATCCTACATTCGATCATATTTTGCTACATGTACATGCATACAGGTGTATAAGTACACTTCAGATACGATATCTAAAAGGGTATTCAATAGTCTCCTGCATAATAAACTGCATGCATCATTCTATTGTTGTTGTTTTTGCTTTCTCGTTTTGAAATAAAGCTTGCATAAAATATTCTATTTATTGTGTGTTTTACGTCGCGAAGCAAATATGTCATGCAAGTTCAGGACAAGAACAAATAAAATAATACATCAAATATGGAGGTTCCAATTGGGGAATTTTCACTGGCACTGAAAAAAAGGATTGTTGGATAGAGGCTTATTAAAGTGTTGCAAGGGAACTTTATCGTGGAGAAAGCTAGAATTCTTCTAACAAGGGTGTGCCTGTTTTAATTGATTGATCGATTTTTGGTCATCGTCCAGTGGCAAATATGTCATACAAAGGTCGCCCGGGATGAAGGTCAGGGAACTTTGGACTGCTTCTTGAAAATGGGAATATATAGGATACAGACAGAAGTTTTGCCTTACAACAGGCCACCTACTAGCGTGGCACTCTCTACATGAGGCATCGAATTGAACGTCCCCAATCTGACCGGACGTGACTGCGTACTTATACATCCGTACATGATTCAATGTCGAAAATTCAATCGGACGGTTGATTATTTTTTCATTACTTAATTTCTCTTGGACGCCAAACAGACAACTATCACCAATTGATTATTAATTAACGAAAAAGAAATCTCCAGATTCGAAGACCATCTACATCACATGTATACTAAGATGCATCTACACTTTGAAAAACAATAAAGAATAATTCCTAGCTATTGTTTACTGTCATAATAGTCAACTTATCTATGTTTTTAATTGTCAACTAACCTATATTTTTCTCTATTTTCGGAGGAGAATGGAATTTAGAATGTCCGATTATCTCAGGCTTGTGTTTTTGACTTTTTGTCAGATATTCGGAAAACTCTGGTTGTATCCATGTGGTGCCAATTGAAAAATTTCCCCGCTAACCCCTACTTTTCTTTTCAAAATTTTATTAAATAGTTTTAAAAGCCATTTTTGAAAATCTTTTTTAAATCCTTGTAATTTTTCATAGTTTTTGAAAGACAAAAAGGCGTCAATGTTAAGTGCATGAAAAATTTAGAGAGAACCATTTCCCGCCTAATTTTCAAAGACTTAAATCTCAAAAACAAGGACACATACATTTTTTTCGGCTTATTCAGTTCTGTTAATATCAGTTTATAACAGTCTCCTATAAGGTTTGTTATTTTGAAAGAGTAGCGAACATCCTTAAGTCGCTATGTGCTTAACGTTTTCATGCTCTTGACCTTCCGTTTATTTTTTTTCACCTTGAAATTTTAATCATTTGTATACTTACTCATTTCAAAATGCAGTTTCAACTAGATCTTCACTATGTTATTAACCCTTACGTATGGGAGTGACGGTATATCATGTTTTAAACACACGTGATGTCATATTGAAGGATAAAGGAAAAGGTCACAAACCGACAGACTGACAAATCAGGTCAGAATTTACAATAAATCATATACGATATCAGCTAAGTTTACCAATACTTCCAGGCTTCAAGCGAAATTGATACGTTGATTATCAAGATCTAGACATACTATACTTTTCAAACAAGAAATGGAATAGGCACAATTGCTCTTGTTCTAACATACATATTTCATTATTTTGTAAATTATTAGGGCCGTTAGTTTTCTCGTTGGAATTGTTTTACATTTGTCATTTATAGGGGCCTTTTTTGCTGACTATATGCGGTATGGGTTTTACTCATTAATGAAGGCCATATGGTGACCTTTAGTTGTTAATTTCTGTGTCATTTGGTCTCTTGTGGAGAGTTGTTTCATTGGCAATCATACCACATCTTCTTATTTTTATATGTAAGAGTAAACTTTCGTAATTTAGCGGTAAATTGGTAAACATACTAGTCACGTTCAAAAATCAAAATTCAAATTGTTTATTTTCAACTATTTATATGACAAATGTCTGAAAAGCTTCTTTACCTTTGAAATAATATATCCGCATAGATAAAATGACATTTTGATTAATGCGCAAGTGATTAATGTGGTACATGTTATATTGAAAGTAAGAGAAACACTAAGTGAACAAGTTTAAACCACAAGTCGAAAAAAACAACCGAATAATAAAGGAAGAACAAACGGCAGATTTAAACAAAAACGCTGCAGAAAACTCAAGATTAAGGTGGTACCTAACACTACAGGGAGATAACTCTGTAAAAATCAGCTAAACGTTTTAATTACGTTGTATTGTTAAGGAAATATTAAGCTTCTCAATGATCAAAATTAGTGTTTGTCAAACTGCTATATAACCAATGAAATTTTTCTGATAAAGTGGTTGGTTCAAATTTTTTGAAATTTTTATATTTTTGTCAAAGGGTCAAAGTAAACATTTTGTCAAATTTTTATGAAAATTAAACGAGCCAAATTAATATCAGTCAAGGTGTTGGGTACCACCTTAAGCATCCCGAACACCGCCAAAAAAA